CAGTCTATTAGTCAATTTCTCTATTGGGCAGATGCCAATGATAAGGAAATACGTAAGCCAAAGGTAAAAAGAAGCAAAAACAAATTAAAAAAATGAGTTATTCAACTGAGAAGCAAGAACTTTCTGGGAAATAGTCATAAAAAAGAAGGCAACTAAAACTGAGGATGTGAAAAGACTGTCAGGGCATGAAAACAAGTGAGATGAACTAATTCTTCTCTCAGCTAAGTCATTTAGGTCGAATATCTTATAATAAGAAAAGTTGAATTTGTTTGGGTTTTTAAAAATGGAAAAAAAATCAGTTTTATCCCTGAACGTTTTTCTTAATAAGAATTAAATCTTGATCTATTTCTTTTTTTAAAAAAATTAATTAATTTTGTGTTGAGACTGTATATGGCATAAAATATGGCACAGTTTCTGCATGTATAATTCAGTGGTATTGATTACATTCAAGCTTTATAACTATTCTCCCCCTCTGTTTCTGAATTTTTCCTCCCCCATTAACATAAAAAGGGTCCTATCTGATCTTTCGAGTTGCAGTTGTCAATTTGATCCCACATAGCTAGTTCTTAAAAGAGTAGAACACTTAAGGTGAATCTTGATCTATTTTAGTAGTTTGTTAGGGATTTTCCTTTTCTCCCTATCACAATGGTGGGGGAAAGCACATTCTCTATAACTGTGAGGAAGATAAAATGGATAGAATAGATAGAAAGGAAAAACAAAAGTGAAATTAAGTATGAAATATCTGTTAAAACCCAAGAGATTCTTATGGCATGTGGCCTTAAGAACACTGAAGAGAATGAAGCACTGTATGAATTACGATGGTGATACAGATGTGTTTCTTGGCCAGGTGAGATGTCTCTATATACTTGAATTACCCATGTGACTCAGTGGATGCTGTGGAAATACATTTGCTTACAATAAGAATCTAACTATAAAAAGATTGAAGACTTTTGTATTATAAATAAGGAGCTCTGCTGGCAGGGTGCCTAAGGGATTTGACTGCAAACCAGAAGGTTGGCAGTTCAAGCCCATCAGCTGCTCCACAGAAGAAAGACGGGTCAATCTACTTCTGTAAAGATTTACTGCCTTGCAAACTCAACAGGGATTGCTATGAGTTGGAATCAACTCAATGGCAGTGAGTTTGGGTATTTTTTTTTGGTATTATAAAGATATACGTTAATGTTTATCTTTAGGCCCTCAATTATAGGACATAATGCAATGCAGCACACTGCTGTCGAGTTGGATCCAACTCATAGTAACCCCTCCTTGGGTTTCCAAGGCATTACCACTGTGGAAGTAGATTGCCCAGTCTTCCTTCCGAGGAGTGGCTGGTGGGTTTGAACCGTCAGTCTTCTGGTTAGCAGTCAGATGCCTTAGGCACTCTGTCACCAGAGCTCCTCAAGTAGTAGGAGGCTCTTCGTATTTTTAAAAAGATATTGGTGGCATCTTGTCCCACCTGCTCAAATGAGAAGACACTTTCATATCAAGTGCTTTTTCCACAACTGTGTACCATTATTGGATAATTGAAAAATCTTGTGTTTTTAGAGATTTCCTTGTTTTAAAAAATACTTTCTTTTGATTAACTGACAGCTCTTTTTCTGTTTAATTACGGGGGATTAAAGGCATAGTGGGATTAAATAATTTGTAGCAGAGGATGTAGTAGAGCTAGCCCTGGAAATTGGAAGTCCAGTCATAAGTAATGTGATACCCATTTGGGTCTCATGCTATGTGAAGGAAAGAATACTGAAGTAAAAAGTAGACAACATAAATGAAATCTTCAGTATATAAAAGAGATTAAGAACTACACAGATATTCCCTTTTGGGGTGTTCCTAGGTAAAAGTATGTTATAAATTGCAATAATGAACTTGATTACCAAAAAAAATAACAAACTGCTAGAGAATTTTGAAACATGATAGTTTTCCATGAAGAATTCTTCCTTCTTTTTCAAGTCAGATTGTGGAGCTATTGACAAGAGATCTTTGCTGTGATAAAATGCAGGGCTTGAAGTTTTTTTCAGAGAGTACATCAATTGTGTATTATATTTATAGGTGAAGGGAAGAAGGATACATTCAGTCAAAACTAATAGTGTATCTAGCTTGCCAAGCATACATTAAGGCATTCACTCAGCAAGTCTTGAATGACAGGTTTTTTATTTCCTATCTTATCTTAGTGGGAATTTAGTTTTACTTCATTGCATCTCTAGCACCAGTCACAGATTCTGGCAGAACAACACTTATTTGTTAAAAGAATGAATATAGGGCTTGTATTAATTTCCTACAGCTACCATAACAAAGTACTATTAACAAAGTACCACATAACAAATGTTGTTGTTGTTGTTGTTGTTATGTGCCATTGAGTTGGCCCTGACTCATAGCCACCCCTCCTTGGATTTCTGAGGCAGTATCACTACGGAAGTAGATAGAGTGGCTTAAAATGTAGAAACTTACTGTCTCACGGTTCTGGAGGCTGAAAGTCTTAATTCTGGGTGTTGGCAGAGTGATATTCCCTCCAAAGGCTCTAGGGGAAGATTCTTTCTTGTTTCTTCCTGTTCTGGTAGTCTTAGGTATTCCTTTGCTTGGGACTGCAGCATAGTCTACTGTCTGCCTCCATAGTCACAAGGCAGTCTTCCCTCTTTATGTGTCCATGTCTTTTTTATAAGGATACCATTCATATGGGATTAGGACCCACGCTACTCCGGTATGACCCCACCTTAATTCATAACATCTTCAAAGACCCTGTTTCCAATCAAGGTCACATTCACAGGTACTAGAATTAAGAGAGAAGCCTGGATGGTACAGTGATTACAGCACTGAGCTCCTAAGCAAAATGGTCAGCAGTTTAAACCCGGACAGCTACTCCTTGGCAGAAAGATGTGGCAGTCCGCTTCCATAAAGGTTTACAGCCTTGGTAACCCTATGGGCAGTTCTGCTCTGTCCAACAGGGTAGCTGTGAGTCGGAATTAACTTGATGTCAGTGGGTTTGTTTTTTTGCGAGGAGGTAGAATTTTTTTAAGGTCTCCTTTGACTTTAAAATTCTGATTCTAAATTCATGAAACAAATTATGTTAACATTGCCTGTCAGTTTCAAAACTTTTCTGTATTAAATCTCAATAGACTGTTTTCTTCTAGCACAGAAGATAATCAGAAAGAACTTGTTCCATGATGGAAATCAGAAAATAGCTGTTTTTGAAGCCTGATGAAGGTAATTCACTATGGGAAATAGATGTCACCATGAGCACACAAATATTGTCACATCAGACAATAGCCAATGAGTATGTCTTAGGCAGCTTTGGCAAGATTTCTCCCTATATGTCTGGCAATTTACCAAAGAAACCTCATAAAAATTACTCTTAGCTACTTCAAAGAAAAGATAATGGCATAGGTCTTCTACAGAATATGAGAACAGTCATCTGGAAGGGGACTTGAGGGAGAGAAAGAGTCTACACATTCTGTTTCTTTATGGAGCAAATGTTACCTACAGAGACTTTCTTGTAAAACCCATGACACTTGGAAACCATAACACATTTGCCATTTTAAAGTTGAAGTACCCACATTCAGTCCCCTTAGTGCAATTTCTTTTTATGGCACTTTGCTGGCAAGTTGGCTTTGTGATACCATTAATTGGGCCTGTATCAAAAGAAAAAAAATTTCATGAAAAGACCAACTTTTCTAGTATGCACCATTTTGTCAGAATAGTACAATAGTTCCTTAAATAATATATCAGAGAACAGTGTTAATTTTCTAAGGTAACAGGTATCATTAAAATAAATGAATAAAACAGATTATATATTTGAGAAATGTTGGGTTAATAAAACCAAAATAGGTTTTTGGCTGTAGTTCTTCTCAGAGCTTCTAATGTATCAATCAATATATGATACTGATCTCTAAATGGCAGTGGTGAGATGCAGTATACAGGTTTTCCCAAACTTGTGTAAGAAATGCCCTTTTTCCTCCCCAGAATATTTTGTGGAACTTTTGGTTCATGGAACACAATCTGAGAAATAATCATGATGACTGTATGGAGTTTCTTGCCAGGATTTTTGATTTAGGTAAAAACCAAAGCAATTTTTTTTTTTAAATAAATTGGAAACTACATGTGATGGCAAGAGAAAACACCATTGTACTTGGCTACTTAGAATAATGTACTGTTTTGAATAAAGTTGTATTTTATATAATTGGCTTCATTATTCACTGAAGGATATTTTTAATGTCCAACACTGATATGCTATGGTTTTATGAAGAATTAATTTACCCTACGATTTAAATCCACCAATTTAATCAAATTGATAAATTGTCACTTGTTACAGTCTTGGAATTGTCTAAATTGACATGAAATAGTTTGCTTTGAGAAATTTATTTTTAATTATATAATCAATGACATATACCTCATTATAAATATTATTTATAGTTTATATTACCAAGCTTTTTCAAGTGTGGTGCACACTGAGGAATATATACATAACTAATGAATTTGTAAAAATTGACACAATGAGAAGAATTGAAAGAAAGTGATTACTTTTTGAAATAGTTATGTTTCTAGAATTCTCAAATGATATAGAAGCATACATTAACTGCAGCTTCTCATTTCTAATGATGTACAATTAAAGCAATGCCGTATTCACCAATATTAGATTAACAGTCATAATTAACTCAGGATAGATTCTTTGAAGTGCTTCAGAGAGCTTTTCATAATAAATTATTAGCCTCTAATCAGCTAATATAAAGTGGGTATTTTCAGAATGTGTGGTAGGTGCATGTCTCATAAAAAATTTCATTTAGGTAACTTTTCTCTTTGGACTTCTTAGCTAGTTTTAAGTTCAATTCTTAACATTGAGTTTTGACTGCTAAGATATTTTTAACACTCCTGAGGCTAGCACTGGCGGCATCTGCTATCCGGTTCCATTCAATCACACACAATTGTGATAAGGAGAGATAAGTGTGAGCTAAATAGAGCTGAGACCTGGGCAAGGTCATTTATCCCAGAGCACCAGGGACACCAAGATCTCAAAGGCACTAGAGGATATAAAAAGGTGCTACACTAGTGAATTAAAAACTACATTTTTTTTTACAGGGTAACAATGAGGGTCCCTGTGTTTGAGGATTTGAAAAATGAAGCTGAAGAGGAAAAAACAGAGGAAGAAGAAACTGAAGAAGAAAAGGTGAATGAGGATGTACTTTCTGAAGAATGGTATTAGTTCCACTAAGCTGATGATTAGAACAATGTTCCTTTCCTTTTTTTGAGCAGGTATTCTATAAGCCTGTTATTGAAGACCTAAGCATGGAATTGGCCAGAAAATGCACAGAACTCATTAGTGATGTAAGTGGTGTAAGTCATTTTTGTCTTGTTTTGCATTGTGTGTGTGGCAGTATTATGTCATAGAATCATAGAACTGGGAAGAAAATCCTTGAAATTATCTATTAAAGTACAATTATCATCCAGATCATGAAACTCAGTCCAGAAATTTTAAATGACTCCTCCAAGGTCACCCATACAGAACATTCCTGCTGGAGCAATCTCCTCATTCCCAATCCTGAATCCTGTCCATTAGGGATTTCATTGTGATTCTAGTGTGCAGTCAGAAGACATTGGATTTCAGAGTGTATTTCATGTGAGAATTCCAAGGACCTTTAAAATTTGTATAATGTCATTTGTTTAGGGAGGATGTCTATCAAAATTAGTGATTTTTAACTTTTTTGGGGGACCTTTTGAAGAATCCAATGAATGCAATAGTTTTCCTAACTAGGAAAATGCATGTGCCTATTACCATAACCATTTAACAGTTTATTTACGGCTAAAGGAGTCATACATTAAGTGTACGTTAAAAACCCTCATCTAGATGATGATGACATTAGCAAAAGGAGCATTTCTGTTGTGATTACCAACCCCCCCGTAACTGGGATTGGTTTTATTATATTTCAAGTGAATCAGAGAATTACAATTATTTAGCATATATATCTAACATATAAATGTGTATATACACATAAAGTAAATATGTCCACTAGAATTCGAGATGCATAAGGAAAAGTATTGCTTACTAGGAGTGAAAATTTAAATGATTCTCTGAGGAGAAAGAAAGCTCACGTAATACGAGTAGGTGTCTGTATCTTCATAGTGAGGCAAGCAGAATACTGTCATTTCTGTTGTTGTTAAGGAGCATAGTGGTTAGGATATTGTATATGTATGTATGTAGGTTTTGTTTTGTTTTTTCCCAAAAGATGCCAATACTGAGAAATATGGTAGCAATCTGTCCAGTCCCCCGGCATGACATGCATCTACCCGAGTTGGACTTAAAAGTAACCTTGAGCAGGTTATGTAACCCCTCAGGGCTCAGTTCCCCAAGTATAACATTTATAATAAAATCAAAACCAAATTCATTGCTGTCAAGTCAGATCCAACTCACAGCGACCCCTCCTTGGGTTTCTGAGGCAGTATCACTATGGAAGTAGATTGCCCAACCTTCCTTCCAAGGAGTAGCTGGTGGATTTGAACCGCCAACATCCTGGTTAGCAGTCAAGTGCATTAGGCACTATGCCACCAGAGCTTAAATAATTGTAACACATCTGAAACATGTAGTAAACTGTATGGAACATCATTACTACTCAATAGCTATTAGTTCTTTTTTTTTCTTTAAGTTATATTTATTTCTTTGCTGTTAAGAATGTAAACCACAAAACATAGACCATCTCAACAATTTCAACATGTACCACTTAATGACAGTCAGTACATTCTTCAAGTTGTACAACCATTCTCACTCTCTTTTCCTAAGTTGTTCCTCCCTCATTAACATAAACTGACTGCCCCTTAAGATTCCTATCTCATCTTCCAAGTTGCAATTGTAAATGTGATCCCATGGAGATAGTTCTTAAAAGAGCATAATGCTCAAGGCAGACCTTTTTTTAAAATAAATAAATAAAACTTATTGAGCTAAACTATTGTTTGGTTTTAAGAAGACTTCAGGGGGTATTTTTTGTTTAAAGATTATCCCAGGGCAATAGTTTCAGGGGTTCATCCAGCCTCCATGGCTCCAGATAGTTTAGAGTCTTTGAGGATTTGAAATTCTGCAGTTTTCCCCTTTTGATCAGGATTCTTCTGTGGAATCTTTGATCAAAATGTTCAGTAATGATAACTGTGTATCATCAAATTCTTGTGGTCTCATGGCAAAGGAGGCAATTGTTCATAGTGGCAGTCAGCCACACATTCCATGTTTTCTGCCTATTCTTGACTGTCTTCCTCTGCTGAACCAATTGTTGTGCCTTAGACGGCTGCTTGCAACCTTTAAAGACTCCAGGTACTATGCAACAGAAACATTAAACACATCAGGCCAATTAACTGTGATGTCCCATGAAACCATGACCCTAAACCTCCAAATCAAGGAACCACTTCCCATGAAGTGTTTAGTTATAATTAAGCAGCCTCAGCAACCATATGTGTGTGTGTGTGTGTGTGTATGTGTGTATATATATATATATTCATTATCAATATATCTATCATACAGCTTTTGCCAATTCAACTTTTTATAAGCATACAACTTATTGACAGTGATTACAATAATCAGCTGTGCAACCCTACCCTCAATCGTGTGATTTTCCCATCATCCCACTTTCTACTCTGTCTTACCCCTGGTAACCACTAATAAACTTTGGTCTCTATATATTTTCCTTTTCTTGTCTTTTTCTATAAGTGAGGTCATAAAATATTTGTCCTTTTGCGACTGGCTTATTTCACTCAGCATAATGTCTTCAAGCTCCATCCATACTGTAGCATGTATCAAGAGTTAATTTCTCCTACTGACTGAGGATATTAGTTCTTATTAACTACTGCATCTGTAAATTACTTTTGCATCTATCCAATCGAATTTTATATATGACTGGTGTGTCAGATAGAACCAAAGGATGGTAGGAATCATACCACTTCCCATAACCTGATGTAAGATATTATTAAATTTTATGATTTCGTCACAATAAAAGTAAAAGAGAAAGAAACAAAGATGTAATTAAATTTTTAGTTATTTGTGCTGCTACTTTACATTTATAAGCTAATGTATGTGTAAGTAATTTGTGAACTGTAATAATAATGAAACAGTATAATAGCAGCAGTTAAGATTAATTGAGCCCTGTGTGCTAGGCACTGCACCTTGTAGGTAGGTTCTATTATTTTTCCTATTTTAGAAATGAGGAAATAGAGGTTCAGAGAAGTTAAGTACTTTGCCCAGGTCACAGAGTAAGCTGTGGAATAGAACTTGACCTCCAGAAGTTTGGCTAGAGAGCCCTTTCTCTTATCCACTCTACTGTTTTGTTTCTTACTATAGATTTACATACATAGTTCATCTTAAAACCAAACTCAATGCCATCAAGTCATATCCGACTCATAGTGACCCCTTCTTGGGTTTCTAAGGTGATATCACTCTGGAAGCAGATTGCCCAACCTTTACTATTATTTAGTATACTAATATTAGTAATACTAATGTTGCTATTTAAAGTCTTAAGTTCCATATCTCTGGAGATAATACCTCTTCCAGATTTGTATGTTTTTAGTGAGGTATAATCGTTGCCAAGGTAAATTGTATTATCGCAACTATTAGGACTAAAGTGATAACTATAGTTAGTAGGTGATTTTGTTGGCATTCTTTTGGATTAGATCATTTACCATGACTCTCAAATCAGCCCTGTGGTAAGAGGTGGCGGCCATTAACATTTTTGCAAAAGCAAATGGCATTCTGTTTCACTCCCATGTGGGTGAAATCAAATACATGGCAGTAATTTATATTTATTACAGATTTATGTTACATAGCAGAATGTTGTACGATTTAAATATTTAGATCATGATCTAAATTTGTATCTGTGTACACATTTCTTTTTTGTTCCCAAATAGAATTCTAAACTCGTTAAGATACTTGTTTAATTTTTTAGAATTTTTAATTTAAAGTATATCTTATCCTGTTCATCTATGAAACTATTTTATATAGTCTGAAGAATTACTTTTGTTTCTAAAAAAAAGAGAGGTTTGAATATAGATAATAAATAAATCATTTTAAAACAAATTTTAATTTATCCTTCCTGGAAAGACTTTGCTTATTGCACTAAATAATATTTTAAGGTTTTTTTTTTTTTTTTTTTTTTTTTTAGAAATTTGGTTGAATAGTTATTATTAAGTAGTAACTTCTTTAGTTTTTCTCAGTATTAGCATTGACTTTATATGGAGCACATGAATTCACTTTTAAGTTCTTATTTCTATTATTTTGTCTGTATGATTATATAGTTATATAAAATGTGTATTTGAAGCTGTATCAGTCATGGAGTTAAAACAAATAAAAGTTGATGTCTTGCTGTACTGAGTTACACCTGCAAAAAAGCCAAAAACCGAACTTACTGCTATCAAGTTGATTCCGATTCACAGAGACTCCCTTGGCTTTCTGAGGCAGGAAATCTTTAGAGAGGTAGATCTTGCCCCATCTTCCTTCTACAGAGTGGCTGGTGGGTTTGAACCACTCACCTTCTGGTTAGCAGTCAAATGCCTTAGGCACCATGCCACCAGAGCTCCTGAGTTGCAGTCAAATCTGTATTATGCCTCTGACAGTGGCCCATCTATTAGTGCCCCATATTTAATAAAGCACACAGTTCTTTTCCATGCCTAAAATCCTAAACACAAAGGAGACCTGATGGTACACTGGTTAAGTTCTTCACTGCTAACCTTGTAGCAGTTCTAAACCACTTGTTGGCTCCTGGCAGTCTTTTCTCTTAAAGATTACAGCCAAGAAAACTCTGTGGGGGTAGTTCTACTCTGTTACGTCAGCTAACTATGAATCAAAATTGACTCAATAGCAACCAACAACAACAGTCTTAAAAGCCAAAGGCAAACCTTCAAGTATCTTAGTTTCGTTTTATAATCCATTCTATCCCAAAATGTCTATCCCATAAATTTACCTAAGCCTTTTTTGTTGTTTGAAGGCAATTTTGTTTTCAGGCTTTGTCACCAAGTGAATTTGGTATATAGTGTTTGCCCACTTTGTAAAGTACTACATCTTGAAGATTGAGAAGTAGCCCTACTTTCTGTTGATTGTTACACAGAGCTAGTGAGCCACAGACCTGAGGTTTGAAACAAAGTTTATCTGATTCCAAAGCCTGAGCCACCATCATGTCTTTCCTCTCCTGCTTTGTCTGCCAAGCACTCTCATGCAGTATCACATAGCTTCCGACAGCAAGCCTACACCATGGGTTCTATGAACCTCAGTTCAGAGGTGGTGAAGCCAAAGCCTAGAGAGGTTGAGTAGCTTGCCCAAGGCTACCTGGCTAGTCAGAGGTGGGGACAAGTTCCAA